TTTCAATGGTGATTTGGGGGAGGGCCAAAGAAGCTTCGTGTGGCACAAGTCCTCTGTTCCTTTTGGTGTCATGTAAACTCTGTGATCTGAGATACCCTCCTTTAAGAATTCTGTGTTAGCATGTGATGTCAAGTGGAGAACACCATGAACACCTTGCTGACTCTGACCAAAGACTTCTCTAATTCCATAATGGCTAAACAGATGCCTCTGGGAAGCCCACCAGCAGAAATAGGTGGCAGTAGCCCTCCATTTATTTACTACATTTAATCCCACAACTGAAGTGTTCTGGACTTTGAACAGACTTAAAGCATACAATGCAAATAGCTTTAAAGGTACTGGATGAAAACAGTGGAGAAGGTGACTATTTACACTCACTAATGAAAGTTCCTGAAACACCCAGGAAAATAAAAAGATCTTTGCCTGTTACTAAAAAGAGTGTAATTTAGGGATGAAATTAGGGCATCCCAGGAAGGTATTCTACAGACAAGGCCCTCTGTCTTGCAGCAACCTGTTTTGCTTTATAGGGGAACCTGGAAGAAGTGTGCCCAATGATAACAACTTGCCTCTATCTGGATCCGGCAAGTTTGCTCTAATGACATAACCACTGGTTGCCTCATCCTCCATGCATTTAATCCCCCTTTGAAGCCAACTACTTCAATGGCCATATAAGAATTTATGGCAGTAAATTCCATACCTCATCTATGCACTATGTAAGTTTGCAGTATCTCTTAAAAGACTTGTCAGGACGCAGATCTTAAACCCCAAAGGGCTATTGCTGTCACACATTCCACGATGTAGCTTTAGGCAGAACTCTTGAATAATTCACATTCTTTGTGCATATGAACCTGGGGAAGTATAGATACTGGCTTGGTTTTGAAGCCAAGAATTACTAAGGTATGGAAAGATACAGACAGCACATTAAAGCTATTAGCTGTTTCTCCCTATGAGAGAAAGCCAGTGCTCATGTGTGGAAATCTACAAAGTTTCACAAATGCAAAATACTGCTTATGAAACTAGTGGTTATGAAAAGCACATCAATGTGGTACCTCCAAGGGCTCCCTGCCATAGAATCTTCATTAAAAGTTGAGATAATTTAATAAAGATTTAGTATTTTCTCTGGATACAAGGGCTTTACTTCTAAAGCTTATTGCAACTGTAGTCTGATATTGCCTTTTGCCTATGTGATGTGCATTTTCATCAGTCCTCTATTTTATGTGTATGGTAATAATGAAGGTTATGATCTGTGTTGATAAGCAGGGTGTGTTTTGTCCAGAATAAATCCAGAATTAAAGTGAGTCATGTGAATCAGCATGTTGTAAGCCACCCAGAGACCTTTGGGCGGCATATAAATTGAATAAAATAAAATAAAAAATAAATGTGACTGGAAACACAGCGAGTTTGCTGTTCTGATCAGCCTGAGCAAGTCAGTCAGTGGCGAAGGATGCTGTTAATGTAATAGAATTTACTAAATTCAGTTAACGACTTTGCTAAATTCAGTTAAGATTTAATCTAACTTATTGTAGGGTTGCATGTGAATGTGTTTTGTTGCCGCTGTATTATGTTGGAATTTGTGGGGAGTTTGCATTTTTGGCTGAATGAGTGGTGCACTGTCTGGATGGCACTTTGCAATGACAATAAAGTGTTGTTCTATTCTATAATAACATTTGGAGTGACACCTGTTTCCCATCTCTAGTTTACAAAGGCATCAGGAACACTTGTGCTGCTTAACAACAAAACAGAAAACGCTGTGGCAGGACACCAGTGCCAAATGAGCAACTCTTTGATTTCTACGTTTATTTTTATCTTATTTCTTCTTTTCCGTTCATATACTGTACTTTTTTTTTTCTTCCAAGGGGGTCTCTGTCTCCTTTTCTCCTCTCGGCAATCCTGTGAAACTGGGATAGGCTGAGAGTTGGTGATCTTTTTACAACTCGTTAACCGTTGTTTCAATAAGGCTTACAAATAAATACCCCAAGGTTGCCTTGCGAGCCTCGCAACCCAAAGCTGCATCTCCTTATCGCTAAATTCTCGCGGGCCTCGAGCAGCTCCGCACCTCGACGGGGATCTCAAGCCTGGGAGAGGCGCATCTCTCGGCTCACACGACCGCCCACTAGGCGGAAGCTCCCGAACGCCCTACCTGTGCGCCACGGTTTAATTTTGCCAGAGGAGAGGCTTAAACGGTGCGGCGAGATCAGCGGGCGAAGGCTTTGTCTCTCCTCCAGGAGTAGCGCGCTTTTCCAGGTCTCTGGGAGAACCGGCGGCCAGGTGGTCCCAACCCCTCACCCCGACCGTAGGCTAGGCTAGGCTAGGCTGCTGCTGCTACTACAGCTCTTGCACGGAGGCGAAGGCGCGGCTCGAGGCTGGAACCGTGGGCCAGGAAGTGCCGGTTCAAGACCTCCCCCAGAGGGGCTGCCGCTGCCCCGGCTCTTCTCTCTAGCTGCGAAGAGCAGCCGCTCGGGGGGGAGGAGTGGTCGTTTCCTTTGCAGCCGCCCCGGGACGCAGCCAGGATGGCCTCAGGTAAGGCGGAGGGCAAAAGCAAGGCTGGGCCCGCGGCTTGTCTTGCTCTGGTTCCGTGCGGCTCCCTCCCTCCCTCCATCTCAGGACTGCTTTCCACTGAGGGGACGAACCAAGGCTTTCTCCTCGCTTTGGCCGGACCACGTCGCCAGAGGCGAAACTTGACGAACAAGCTCTTCTCACAGCCCCCCCCCCCCGCAGGAACCGGGAAAGGGGGGGGCGCGCGGGCGCGAACTGCTTGTTGCGGCGGCTTCGCGGGGCGCTCAGGGCAGCCGGCGCCCAAAGCGGAAGAGCGCCGCCGAGCCCATCCGTCGTCTCCGTGCCTCTTGGGCGGGATGACTCGCGGGGGCAGAGGAAGGGAGGGAGGGGGGCTCGGGCAAAGGGGCGCCCGGGGACGGGGAGGCGCGGGGGTCCCGAGGGAAGCCGAACGCCCTGTTCCCCCCCCACCAGCGGGGCGCCGAGTTACCGTCAAACTTTTAAGCCCCCGGTGGATGTGACGGAAGTTCACTTGCCGGAGGGGCGATGAGAGGCAGCCTCGGCCCCCGGGACGTTTCTCGCTGCCCTGTCGGGTCGCGGGGCATGAAAGCTCACTAGCATTCCCCCCCCCCGTGGGGGCTGCGCCCTTCCCGTCGGTGGCGCCATTTCCTCTCCGCCCCCGACTTCCCCTCCCTCGTCCGGGCCACATTCGCTTTCCCTCCGGCCACTTTCTCTCCCCTCCGCTCCTCCTCCGTGTAATCTTTGGCCTCGCCGTGTTTGCGCAACGGGCTGCTCTGCAGACGAGCGGGCTGCCCCCGTCCCCTCCTCCCGCACACTCAGGCCCGCAACGAGGCGGGCACTTGCGCCCCGCAGAGCCGCTTGCCTGGGATCGGAGCGCGCCGGCGGCTTGCTGCCTTGGCCGCAGCCATTCCGCCCCTGTTGCGGGCCGGATGGGCTCGGCAGGGACGAGGCCGCCAAAAGCGCGGCGCTCTCCTTCGGACCGGCAGCTTTCCGGAGCAACTGGCAGGCCTCAAAGGGGAGGAGCCGCCGAGCCTTGCGAAAGCGGGTCCATTGTTTGTGGCCGGCCAGCCTCGTTGGCGGCGGGGAGGCTCCGAAGGGGGGGGCTGCCCGAGTACCCCGGGAGGGCCTCCCAGCGCCGGTGCCACGCTCTCGTGCGCTCGTCTGGAGGCGGCGATTTCCCGCGAGAAATGAGGCTT